CGCTCCTCTTGCTGGTGGTCTCGGCCCTTCACATCCTCATTCTCATCCTGCTTTTCGTGGCCACCTTGGACAAGGTAAGCCTACTTGGAGCTCAGGGCTCTTCTGCTCCCCTGCACAATCCCGCCACGCCCCTCCTCTAAAAACACTCTGGCCCCGCCTCTTTTACCTAGTATTTATTTTACTTATTTTGAAACAGGGTCTCACTCTGTCCCCCAGGCTGGAGTGCAGTGATTCGATCTCGGCTCACTGCAACCTCGGCCTCCTGGGTTCAAGCGATTCTCCTGCCTCAGCGTCCCCCAAGCAGCTGGGATTACCAGCACCCACCATCATGCCCGGCGAATTTCTGTATTTTAGTAGAGATGGGGTTTCATCTCGTTGCCAAGGCTGGTCTCGAACCCTTGGCCTCAACTGACCCACCCACCTCAGCCTCCCACAGTGCTGGGATGACAGGCCTGAGCCACCAGATTGACCCTTTTAGCTCTACCTCCAATGCCTCCTCCCTGTTCTGACCCCACCCCCTTTCACATTAAATCCTAGCTCTCCCCAGTTCTGCCCCAGCTCAGACACCTCGCCCTTTTCCTAACCCTCCCCACAGTCTCCATGACCCCATCCCCTCTCCTTCCCTAACCCTGCCCCTTGTTTCATTCTCTGTCCATCCCAGTCCTGGTGGACTCTCCCTGGGAAAGAGTCCCTGAATCTCTGGTATGACTGCACATGGAACAATGAAAACAAAACGTGGGCCTGCAGTAACGTCAGCGAGAACGGTGAGGGGTGAGGGGGCAGGGCTGGTCTGCAAAGGGGAAGGGAAACCCCTAGTGTCCTCAGAGGACAGAGAATTGGGAAGCCCTCAAAGATGGAGTGGGCGGGGTCCAGGCCTGAGGGGTTGAATGCCTAGGGCTGATGCATGTCCCGCCTGTCTGGATGTACCTACCTCTTGTTCTTTTTTTTTTTTTTTGAGATGGAGTTTTGCTGCTCTTGCCCAGGCTGGAGTGCAGTGGCTCTATCTCGGCCCACTGCAACCTCTGCCTCCCGAGCAGCTGGGAGTGCAGATGTGCGCCACCACCCCCAGCCAATTTTGTATTTTTAGTAGAGACAGGGTTTCACCATGTTAGCCAGGCTGGTCTCGAACTCCTGACCTCAGGTGATCCACCTGCCTCAGCCTCCCAAAATGCTGGGATTACAGGCGTGAGCCACTGTGCCTGGTCAGTACCTCCTGTTTTGAAGAGGCCATATAGAGAAAAGCCTCCTCCTCTGACTCAGAAAGGGTGAGACAGCATGCTATAGGTTTAAGGAATAGAAAGAAAGCTCTAAGATTCTGAGAAGACTAGATTATGTTTCCAAAGCTCTAAGGAGATGGGGGTGGTGCTCTGAATGGATGCCTGGGACCAATTTATCCAAGTTCCCAGGGGATGGGGCTGAAACCACTTTAAGGTTCTAAAGGGGGCTGGGCGCAGTGGCTTATGCCTGTAATCCCAGCACTTTGGGAGGCTAAGGTGGGTGGACCGCCTGAGGTCAGGAGTTCAAGACCAGCCTGGCCAACACCGTGAAACCTCGACTTTACTAAAAATACAAAAATTAGCCAGGTGTGGTGGTGCACTCCTGTAATCCTGACTACTCGGGAGGCTGGGGAAGGAGAATCACTTGAACCCTGGAGCTGGAGGTTGCAGTCAGCCGAGATTGCACCACTGCACTCCAGCCTGCACAAGCGTGAGACTCCATCTCAAAAAAAAAAAAAAAAAAAGGTCTTAAAGGGGTGGGGCCAGCCAGGTGCATTGGAGTTCTAAAGTAAAGTTATAGATATGCTGCATCTATGTAAAGTTCTGTGTGAAAGATTGAATGCAAAACTAAGATTAAAGCATGTGGCCTGCTCTCACCACTTCAATTCAACGTTTTGCTGGAGTTGCCAATGCAACTAGGTAAGAAAAAGAAATAAAAGTCATGGGAAATGAATTAGGAAAAAATGTCTCTATTCCCACTAAACATACTGTTTATGTAGAAAATCCTTTAAAATTCTGCAAAGTGGACAGGGACAGTGGCTCATGCCTGTAATCCCAGCACCTTGGGAGGCTGAGGAGGGGTGATCACTTGAGCCCCAGAGTTCAAGACCAGCCTGGGCAACATAGGGATACCCTGTCTCTACAAAAAATTTTAAAATTACCCAGGTGTGGTGGCTTGTGCCTGTGGTCCCAACTACTTGGGATGAAGTGGTGAGAGAATTGCTTGAGCCCAGGAGGATGAGGCCGCAGTGAGCCATGATTGTGCCTCTACACTCCAGCTTAGATGACAGAGCAAGACCTGGTCTCAAAAAAAAAAAAAAAAAAAATCTTCAAAGCAACTACTAGAACTGAGAAGAGAATTTAGCAAGCTCACAGGGCTCAAGGTCAATGTGATACATCTAAGTATCTAAGCTCCCCTCTAAAGGGGAGCAGGGATGGGGCAGAGAAAGGTCACATGGTGAGCAAGCAGGTGGAGCTGGAACTCTGGACCCACCATGACGTCCCCCTCTGTGTCCTCCTTTACTGCAGGCTGGCTGAAGGCGGTGCAGGTCCTCATGGTGCTCTCCCTCATCCTCTGCTGTCTGTCCTTCATCCTGTTCATGTTCCAGCTCTACACCATGCGACGAGGAGGCCTCTTCTATGCCACCGGCCTCTGCCAGCTTTGCACCAGTGAGCACTGCCCCTCCCCACCCCTAACTCCCCAATAATTGAGCAGAAGGGAGTGGGGTGCGTCAAGATGCTGGGGGCCCTGAGAATGGGCCTCTTGTAGAAGAAAACAATTTTCAACACCCCAGGAGCCACAGGAGGTGCCTCTGTGGGCTACCTCTCTGTCCCAGGGGATTGCTGGGACTTGTAGTTTTTAGTGGCTAATGATAGTTGTGGCTTGTGCTTATGAGTCATTAGGGAACTTAGGGCTTCAGGGAGCCAGGGCTGGGGAAGAAGTTTCATAGTCTTGGTAACAGGTAAATAGTTTCGATCCCAGGAATTGGGGGTGAGGTGAGGGGATAAGCTAATTAGCACCTCAGTAGAGATCTCTGAATCATAAGAGTAATGGCATTTATGTCAGCCAGCTGCTGTTTCTCGCGTGCATATTGTGCATCAGACACATCAGGGAGTTTTGCTTATTTTTCAATATTTTGACTTCAGGTGCAAAGGGCTAACTTAATCATAGTCCTCAGTTTGGGAAGCATCTCCCTAGGTTCTTGCAAAGCCTCTCTCTTGCTTTATTGATCTACGATTACACGTTTGGCTTATAGAAACACACTCAAAAATATTCCTTGGATGGACAGAGAGATATTATAGTCCCATTTTACGGAAGGGCAAATGCAACCTAGAGAGATAATTGAATCAGTCACCCAAGGCCGCGCTGCAGCTGCACCGCGCTGGGGAAGAGAACGACAACTCCCAGCAGGCAGCGGTGCTGCCCACTCGCCCTCCGGCGCTTCTTTGTCCCCCCCCCCCCCGGGGATGTTGGGAAATGTAGTTTTCCTGGAGGGTACTGCGTGACGCATGGTTTCCGACTTCTCCAGGCGTGGCGGTGTTTACCGGGGCCCTGATCTACGCCATTCACGTCGAAGAGATCCTGGCGAAGCACCCGCGAGGGGGCAGCTTCGGTTACTGCTTCGCCCTGGCCTGGGTGGCCTTCCCCCTCGCCCTGGTCAGCGGGATCATCTACATCCACCTGCGGAAGCGGGAGTGAGCGCCCCGCCTCGCCCGGCTGCCCCCACCCGCTCCCGGCCCCACGCCGCGCGCCCTCCAGAAAAATAAAACTGTTTAACCGCGGGCTCTGCTTTGATCTCCTTCCTTCCTTCTGCCTCCCGGGACCCAGGCTGCGCACGCTTGACTTCTCCTGAACCTAACAGGGTCCCTACTACCAGCTGCTCAGCCCTCAGAATGCCCATCTCCCAGCCCCCAACCCCTTCCTCCCAAGGACACAGGAGCCCCGACCCAGGCACCTCTTCCCTCCCACAGATCTAAGAGCCTGGGCCTTCCCTTCTCTGGGTGACAGAGCAAGACTCCCTCTAAAAAAAAAAAAAAAAAAAAAATCTGCACAACTGTACATGACTACCCTATCTCCTCTGTTCATCAGGTCCTGGGACTCCTCGGGAATCAGGTCCTTCTATCCTCTTCCAGCCTGGCACGGTGGCTCACGCCTGTAATCCCAGAACTTTGGGAGGCCGGGTGGCAGATCACCTGAGGTCTAGGAGTTCATGGACAGCCTGACCAGCATGGAGAAACCCCATCTCTACTAAAAATACAAAATTAGCCAGGCATAGTGGAGCATGCCTGTAATCCCAGGTACTCTGGAGGCTGAGGCAGGAGAATCGCTTGAACCCGGGAGACGGAGGTTGCAGTGAGCCGAGATCGTGCCATTGCACTCCAACCTGGGCAATAAGAGCGAAACTCTGCCTCAAAAAAAAAAAAAAAAAAAAAAATCCTCTTCTGTGACCATCTTTGTTTCACCAACCTCAAACCTAGCATCTCTTTAGGACTATAGCTTTCTCTGTCTGGGACCCCAAGACCTAGTCAAGAGTCCCTCTCTTTTTTCCAGAATTCAAATGCTTTCCTTCCCTCCAACTCCTGCAGCCATCCCACTCATCCAGATATTGTTTTAAAATATTTTTTATTTTTATTTATTTATTTTTTTTGAGACGGAGTTTCGCTCTTGTTACCCAGGCTGGAGTGCAATGGCGCGATCTCAGCTCACCGCAACCTCCGCCTCCCGGGTTCAGGCAATTCTCCTGCCTCAGCCTCCTGAGTAGCTGGGATTACAGGCACGCACCACCATGCCCAGCTAATTTTTTGTATTTTTAGTAGAGACGGGGTTTCACCGTGTTGACCAGGATGGTCTCGATCTCTTGACCTCGTGATCCACCCGCCTCGGCCTCCCAAAGTGCTGGGATTACAGGCGTGAGCCACCGCGCCCGGCCTTTAAAATAATTTTTTAACTGCTCCTACAGAGCAGCGTTATCCTAAAGGCCGTGTTTTGAGAGTAGCCTCATCCAGGCTTATTAAACATGATTTATTACTTTGGGAGAGGAGAGACGGGAGAAATTGATAGACCAATAAATATTGCACGGGCTGCTGGTGGTGGGGAGATCCAGACCGAGGTAGTTTCTGTAGAAAGGGTGAAGGACCTGGGCGAGGAAGGCACCTGAGATTGCTGGGGAGCCAGGTTGGGAGCGAGTCTTGGCGGCGAGGGTGGTTTCTGGTTCACCTACCTAGCACAAGGTCCCCTAACCCTTTCAGCCTAGACACCCTGATCAGCAGCTGACCAGCTGGCCTGCCATGTAAGCAGCAGCAATTGATAGCAAGATCAGGTTTCCTTTAGAAATTCTTATTGGTTGCTTCCCTGCAGCGACAGCCGGCTGCCCAAGGTTGATGGAACCCAGCAGCTGTCACTGGCCGTTTGCCAGAAGGCGGGGCTGAGCGGCCTTGGTGCACATGATGGGCAGTTTGCCTGGAGAGGGCTAAAAAAGACAATGATATATAGTCTCGGGAGGGCACGGTTTTAACAACTCTACCTGGCGGTTTGCAGAAGCCAGAGTCGAGCAACTGTGATTGGCAGACACCCCAGCTCCTCAGCCAACCCACGTTCGAATGTTTATGGTAAGGGTGGGACTAAGAAATGAAATAGAAGCAGAGCTAAATCGCTTTGATTGGCTGTTCATCGAAGGGGCGGGGGTAACTTAGCAACTGCTGGCTATTTTGATTGGCTGCTTTGCTTAAGCACACAGTGTAGCAAAAATAATTACCTGTCAGTTATTAGAAGTTGGAGTGAAAAAGTATAATAACTGTAATTGACAGCCTGTCGCGAAGCAGGCAGGGCTTAGTTCCTAGCCTGCTGACGGGGCAGGGAGGTAGGTTCTACTCAGGGGTTGTTACTGCTGGGTGTGGCCTGCGGGGGTTCGGAAGTGATTGGAGCCAATGGGTCTAGTTTGGGGAAACCTGGGGGTGGGAACAATCCCATGCTGGGGGTCAGGGCCCGCAGATGCGCCAGGGCCCGAGTTCCGTTGAAGGCCACCTCACAGCCTGACTTGGCTAGAAGCCAGTTCTCCACCTCTAACCGGAGCCACGTGGAGGTCTCTGCAAGGGGAGAGGCAGGTGTTCCGAGGTCACATTGAGATCGGGGAAGATTTGGGGGATCAGCGAGGAGGCGTACGGCAAAGAATAGGAAGGGTCTGGGTTTAGGAGAAGTCTATGGGTGAACTTGAAGCTTGGAGGGGAGCGGAACAAGGCTGGGGAGGCCCAAGAGGGTCAGAAGGCCCAGATCTGGGGCTCTCGTCCAGGGACAAGTCAGAGGCTCTTGGGCAGGGAAGGTGGAGGCTCCTGTAGGGAAGGGGACCACCTGGGGCCCACACAGGGAGGCGCAGGTTCTCTTGTAGGGAGAGTGTGAGCTCAGGTGGAGTAAAGTGTGCCAGGAGGGGGCCGTGCCATTGAGCCAAGGGTCCCAACCAGGCTGAGGTCAGGAAAGGGCGGTCACATCAGGGACCAAGATCGGAGCCTGAATTCGGAGGTCCTATCTGCTGAGGCAAATCTGTCAGGTCCACCCGTAGGAAGTGGGGGTGGGGACGTCTCACTGGGGCGGGGCCTCGTGGGGGTGTGGCCCCTGGGCACAGGGTCTCAAGGCCGTGTCCTACCTTCGAGTGGGCCTGGCGTGCCCCCTGGCCGCCGGGCCAGGAAACTGTGAGCCAGCAGCGCCTCCTTGGTGTGCTCATCCTGCGCGCGCAGGGCCAGGGCGCTGAGCAGCTCCGAGTTGTTGGACGTGCTGCGGTAGTAGAGCATGTGCGCCAGCTCCAGCGCCTGCGCGCTGCGCCGCTGCCCGAACATCTGCAGGGGGACAGTGCCCTGTGGGCTCAGTTCGGAGTGCGTCCCCACCCATACACAGCCCCCGGGGTCACCCACGCTGGCAGGCCCACGCCGCATACTCCCCTGGGGAGGCGAGGAGGTCCTACCCAGACCTCTTCAGTAAGGGTCCCCAGAGCTCAAGCTCAGTCGGGGGATCTGCCTGTCTGTGTGTGGTTTTTCTTTCCTTTCCTTCCTTCCCTTTCTTTCTTTTTTCTTTTTTTTTTTTTTTTTACTGACACAGTCTTGCTCTGTCGCCCAGTCTGGAGTTGGTGGCTATTCCCAGGCAACTCATAGCGCACTGAAGCCTTGAACTCCTGGCCTTAAGTGATCCTCCCACCTAGGCCTCCTAAGTAGCTGGGACTACAGGTGTGTGCCACCAAGCCCGGTATTTTTTGTAGAGATGGGGTTCTCCCTGTGTTGCCCAGGCTGGTCTCAAACTCCCAGCCTGGAGCGATCCTCGCTCCTCATCCTCCCACAGTGCTGGGGTTACAGGTGTGACCCAAGGCGCCAGCCAGGGATCTGTATTTTTAACACACGTGCCCTCGAGGATTCCAGTGGCTAGGAGATCACCAGCCCCATTTGGCCAACAGGTTTTAGCAACCACTGCACTGGTTTGCTCATCTGAGCCATCTATTAATGGATTTGCCCAAAAATTTGCAGATGATAGGCGTTTAAGCCTTGAAAGATTTTGTTACAGGCCCAGTGCAGTGGCTCATGCCTGTAATCCCAGCACTTTGGGAGGCTGAGGTGGGTGGATCACAAGGTCAGGAAATTGAGACCATCCTGGCTAACATGGTGAAACCATGTCTCTACTAAAAATACAAAAAAATTAGCCAGGCCTGGTGGCACACGCCTGTAATCCCAGCTACTGGGGAGGCTGAGGCAGGAGATTCGCTTGAACCTGGAAGGCGGAGGTTGCAGTGAGCCAAGATCGTGCCACTGTACTCCAACCTGGGAGACAGAGTGAGACTCTGTCTTAAAAAAAAAAAAAAAAAAAAAAAAAATTTTGTTACAATAAATTCTTATGTTTTAGAGACATAATAAAGTATTTCCAGGTAAGTCTAGGTAGGATTTGCTTCAAAACCATAAACCATCCAATAGCAGGAGAGTGGGGTCTTTAGGGGAAATCTGATTGACTATTGCTAATTGTTGATGTTGGGTGCTGGCTAATGGAGTTTATCATATTATTCTATTTTCTGTATTTGTCTGAACTTTTCCATAATGAAAAAATAATAATTTAAAATATTAAACTGGCCGGGTGCGGTGGCTCAAGCCTGTAATCCCAGCACTTTGGGAGGCTGAGGTGGGCGGATCACAAGGTCAAGAGATCGAGACCATCCTGGTCAACATGGTGAAACCCCGTCTCTACTAAAAATACAAAACATTAGCTGGGCATGGTGGTGCGTGCCTGTAATCCCAGCTACTCAGGAGGCTGAGGCAGGAGAATTGCCTGAACCCAGGAGGCAGAGGTTGCGGTGAGCCGAGATCGCGCCATTGCACTCCAGCCTGGGTAACATGAGTGAAACTCCGTCTCAAAAAAAAAATATATATATATATATATTAAACTGTAGACCAAGTACAATGGCTCATGCCTATAATCCCAACAGTGAGAGGCCAAGCGGGGAGGATCGCCTGAGCCCAGGAGTTCAAGGCCAGCTTGGGCAACATGGTAAAAGCTTTGTGTCTACAAAAAATAATTAAAAAAAAAAAAATTAGCTGGGTGTGATGGTGAACACCAGTAGTCCCAGCTACTCAGGAGTCTGAGGCAGGAGGATCGCCTGAAACCAGGGGGCTGAGGCTACAGTGAGCCATGATCATCCAGGCTGGGCAACAGAGTGAGACCCTGGTCTTCAAAAAAAAAAAAAAAAAAAAAATTTAAATTGTAAAGAGAAGAGGAGAGGGGAAGGATGGTGGGGGGAAGAGCAGGTCTGGGCCCCACTGTCTCCTGGCTGCCCCCTTCCCCACTACTCTCCCTGCTCGGAGCCCTGTTCTCATCATTGGTATTGATAAGGAGTGAGGGCATCAGTGCCCTCTGGGCTCTCACTGAAAACCTGTGCCCAGGCCAGACATGGTGGCTCACACCTGTAATCCCAGCACTTTGGGAAGCCAAGGAGGGCAGATTGCTTGAGGTCAGGAGTTAAGTCATCCTGACCAATGTGGTGAAACCCCAACCCCGTCTCTACTAAAAATACAAAAATTAGGACTGACATGGTGGCTCATGCCTGTAATTCTAGCACTTTGGGAGGCCGAGATGGGCAGATCACTTGAGCTCAGGGGTTTGAAACCAGCTTGGCCAACATGATGAAACCCAGTCTCTACTAAAAATACAAAAAAAAAAATTAGCCAGGTGTGGTGGCAGGGTGCCTGTAATCACAGCTACTTGGGAGGCTGAGGCAGGAGAATCACTTGAACTCGAGAGGCAGAGGTTGCAGTGAGCTGAGCTAAGTCTGGGCAACAGAGCAAGACTCTGTCTCAAAAAATAAATAAATAAAAATATAACAATTAGCCAGGTGTGGAGGCATTTGCCTGTAATTAAAGTTACTCAGGAGGCTGAGGTAGGAGAATCCCTTGAACCCAGGAGGCGGACATTACGGTGAGTCCAGATTGTGCCACTGCACAAAAAAGAAAACCTGTACCCAGATTCCTCCATTCAGCCACAAAATGAGCTCAGGGCCACTGGATCCTCTAGCTGGCAGGCCTGGCTGCCTGACTCCAGTATGCCCTTACCAGCTGCGAGCCCTTGGTAAGACCTAAGTCCTGGGGCAGCACTGTCTGTAAAACAGTGCCGATGCCAGGGAGGGTTCAGGAAGCCAATACACAGTGAATAAAACATTGGGACAGAGCCTGGCCCCCTCAGAAACACTCACCAAACATCAGCTACGATGGAACAGTCATCCACACCCTGTGCTGGGTGCCCAGAGAGTACGCCCAGCTTTTTTTTGGGGGGAGGATGGAGTTTCACTCTGTCATCCAGGCTGGAGCGCGGTGACACAATCCTAGCTCACCACAACCTCCACCTCCCAAGTTCAAGCGATTCTCCTGCCTCAGCCTCCCAAGTAGCTGGGACTACA